GTGTTCATTTAGCTCTGTAAGAATTAAAGATATGAATATGATGTGTTGCAAGGAACAGGAGCGCCAAGAAGACAAATGTGACTAATTGTCATATAACCTCAGATTGGGGGCACGGAAGTGTCTAAATAATGGCAGCTAATTTGCCTTGTATTGTGTTTTCCTGATGGGTTTAAATTGAATGAGTCAGGATCCATTGTGTCGTAATGTGAAAGCTGGGGCGCTGGTTCACACCGGAGACATCCAAGGTCACGCTACTCCAACTGAAGGGGTGACGGAGGAGGGAGTGGGGGGGTTACAGGAAGGCAGCTGAGTCAATGGAAGGCCATTGGCACCAAATTCAACCTTGAATTATTGCTCGAGCTTCTCTACTAATCAAGAATACATTCTTTTTGTGTCATGCACATTAAAGATTATTCATTGTAATCCTCCCTAATGCCTCTAATTGGGCTTTTATGACTTACAAACTGTATCTTTGTCTCTTTTTCCTCCTTCTGGCGTTTGTTTTTCTTCCTTCCCGCCACGCTGCGGAGTGACATTGAGCCTCTCCCTGTCGGGGTGCTCTCTTGTCTCACTCCAGTGCACATTTTCTCTGTCCCCTCTCCTCCTCCCCTACACGATGAGCTTTTGACTGAATACATTATCCGAGCTGTTGTTCTGTTTGTTGTTGTTTTAGCATCCGAGAAAAGAGATGAATTATTAATGATGACAGACTAAAAAACAAAGGGGAGAATAAAAAAGTGGTCTTCTTTTTGTAGGGGCGCTGCTGCGGCTCCATCAAGAGGCTGGCAAATAAGACTGGAAAAGGACTTAAAAACACACGCATCACTTCCAGTCATTTTGTTGTTTATTCAGGTATCAATACAATACTCACTGGTTTATTCTGGGAGAAATATACACTTAGTTTACTCAATACTTGGTAAACAAGACTGCATTTCTGGTTTATAGGCACAACGTTATACATTTGCCAACACTATATATTACAATTATTTCTGCCTGTACCATTATTCTCCAAGGTAATTTGTTTTTATTTTTTAAACCGTGTGATTGCTTCGTTATTTAATATCTATGTAAACTCTTTTATTTGTACCTTTTATGTGCGCTTTCAGTTCCCCGCTGCGTTATGAATAAAGGATTCTGATCCTGATACTGTACCATCACTTCATAATGATAGCTTTACCTCCTCGGAACACAAAATAAATCTGTAAGATTTTGTTGGGGCAAGCAATTTTTCATTTAAACTAATCTATTACCATCACTGTATTAAATCTAAATAACATAAGCTGGTATGCTAAATTACCTATATAAGCTAATATGTAACCTTTTAAGCCCCCTTTAAATGCAATTATGACAAAAAGAAATCCCAATTTAATGTGGTTTGTACCCCTTTTCCTCGAGATCCCCAACTATAAAACTTTAATGGTGCACCAATTTGAGTTAAATTGAGCCAATAAGGGAAAATAACTAATTTGTTAGCACATGCCTGAGGAGGAATGTTTGCATTTAAGGTCAGCTAAGGCAACAATTAATAGAAAATGAATTAAACACAATACCAAATAAAGAGAGATGCACAAGTTTGACATATTATGCAAACAATCTCACATGCTAGGATTTTAAAATAATCTTCTCAACAACGTGTACAACATTATTCCTTATTAAAACAGCAGTTTGGATTATTCGGTGCAACATGTTGTAACAATCGTTGTCTGCCCCTGGTTTCTGTCTTAATACTCCCGTCAAAGTCAGAGTACCTGTCTTAATTTCCCTGATCTGAAGCAGGGATTGCTGTGCCCCCTCTTGGTTATACATCAGCACTGCATCGTCAGTCCAAAAGCTTCATTATGGCCACCTCATGTGATCATCAGAGTGATTCGAGTCACAGACGTACAGGAGGGTGGCACATCAGAAGCAGGGGACACATTGTTTCACTGTATAGGATCAGATGGCAGATTTGTCTAAAGAAACAGCCTGGGGTGACAAATTAACCGCGGTGATTGTGTCAGTTTGTCCCCGCGTTGAATGGCAGACGTCGGCCATTCATCACAGCACTTTAGTGAGGAGACTGAATGAAAAAAATGATGGAGGGACAGGGCTTGTCCACCGTCAAACCGCTTCTGTTCCTACTTGCTTATTTTCTCCTGCGTTGCCAAGCACCATGAATCAAACTAGCTTGACTTTGTGTCAAAACCACGTCCTCTACACCCGTTTAAAACACGGCAGCCTTGAGTTGTGATTGATTTTAACACCAAGCAGGACTATTTTTCCCCGTCGTTTGTATTTATAGCGCCTCTTCTTCGACCAGGGGAAGAGGAGAGAGAAAAAAAGAAAAAAGGCCTGCGTGTTTGGAGTTTACAGGATCAAAGAAGAGGTAAATATCATTTCCATAACATTTGAACCAGTTAACCAGCAGCACAATGCAGATAAACACTACTGTAAGCGCCTGACAATGCCAATGAGGCAGGAACTCTGTGATTTGCCGCTCCGCCAAAGAGGAGGGAAGCGAGCGCCAACATGGAGGAGGTCAAAGGTCAACTGCGCTCTCCCTGCATCACTTTCCAAGCCTCCCCTCCAGCGGTGGTGGTGTTTTAGGCAACCGAAGCTCACTTTTAGGGGGGGGGGGGTAGATCCCAAGGTGAATGGAAAGAATAGCTGCTTCCACACTGCCTGGGGAGGGCTACACTGCTTTGGGTGATTCACGTATTGATTATTTCTACCCAAGCATGGAGGTGCCATGTAAACACACATATATTAGCAGACTGCAACACATGTGCAGACACCGGAGTGGAAGCGCGCCCCCGGGCCTACACTCGCTGTTTTATAATCACATTCACCAGCTCGTGGGCATCTTCAAACCACAAGGCACATGCATCTGATGGAGAGCTAAATAGGACATGAATGAAGAGATGAAGGAATAAATAAATGATAAATGCGAAGCGCTGTTTGTGTGGGCCACATATCGTGGTATTGATCCGAGCGTTTTTTGTGAGTTTGTGGACGTTTTTTATTGTTATGCTTGATCTGATGGATGCTAAATGTGTGGAGTTTTAATTGCTCTCAATGGTGCATTTAAGGTTTTATCCTAAGTGGGATGGAAAATGGATTCTGTATGCTTTACCATTCAACGGGAAACTTTTATCTTTTTTTTTATCACTTTCACAACTTCCCTCGACAAAAGTGTCTCACTGCCTTCTTTGGCATCCTTTAGTTGCCTTTGCTCAGTCTGATCTGATGGCTTATCTGATACACTATTGGCTAGCTGTCTTATTCTGTTGAGATGGAAATTACCAACGAGGCCTTCCACTTCAATCATTTGCATCTTTAAATAGTCCGATATATGTTGAAAGGCTCGACTAAGAGGTTTTAGAAGAGTTGCCTCAGTCTGCCCACGCTTTATATACTATACTGTTTTTTTAAAGTCTCAATGTACAGAGGATTCATGTCCTGAGATAATCAGGAACAAGCTTCATGCAAGAGATGAATTTCAATTGAAACCAGCTCCTGATTTCTTAATTGAACTTGAATTAATGTCTAGTCTTTACCCAGATTGGAGTCGTGTTCAAATGACCTTGACTGTTCGCTACAAGGTGAATCCTACCTTTATGATCTTCTCCAAAAGCCAATAGATTTCAAACTCTTACATCATTTGCTTTTGTGCTTCTGCACTGGGAGTATCCTGCAGCGGCATATGTTTTTAAGGCAGGTGTTATTTACTTCATATGAAATACCCTGTGGCCCCAAATTATTACAATCAATTTAAATTAAAACATTACATTTTATCTAGATTTACTAAATGTTGTTGCCATAGATTTGTGATGATAAAAAACGAGACAGAATACTATATAACAACTATTTATTTTCTTTTATATACACAACATATATAAAATGTTTTTTATTCTTGTTTTATTCATTATGATGTATTTGTGTCTATTCGTTATGAAGTGTGTATTTCTCTGTACTTTTTCAAATTATATTTTTTTATTTCATCCCTAAATTATATTTTTGCATATGATTTAAATTGGTAAAACGGTGCAATAGAGGGAATTTGGCTGGTAGAGACTTCGAAAAATAATGTTGTGGCCTGACAACACATTATTTTGATGGTGTATATTTCTACATAAGTGAACCTGAAAATGAATCCATGGCCTCTTCATCACCACTTTAACCCTGATGTGGTCGCATGACAGACGTGTCCTCCAGGATTTGAGACAGTTTGTCCCTCTCTCTCTCCTGAGACAATAATCACCGTGTTCTTCTTCAAAGGTCCACGTGTGCTGATAGCATCTCATATCATCACTGGATCATAACTGTACATGACAGAGTAGCATTTCATGTTGGTCTACATTATAAATCCAGTTCTCTTTTGTCTGCATAATCATGATCATCGCTGCTCAGGTTGAAATCCAACCTTTCCCTAAAAACAGAGAATGCCAGAGTTGTCACTAACATTGGATATCAGTGCTTTGGGCAGAAAAAGAGCTGTTTCTCTTTCCACAGACTTTAGACTCTCCCTTAGGGGCGGTAATGGCATTCTCCATGACAACGGCGGTGTGACACGGCTGTGCCCTTGAGGGCCGGGCGCTCCCTCTGGGGGGGTGGGGGGGGGGGAAACACGACAGGGTCAACGGTCACCTCCCATCATCCACCAGCAACCCATCCTCTCTCCCCGTCTCCTCAGGTGGAATTGCAGAGAGAAAGAAAAGTCTTGAAGCTAGCCCACTCAGTCCAGGCCTGGCAAACGTGGAGCTTTAGCCACGGGCGGTTCTGGCGAGGTCTCTACCTCGCACAGCTCCTTGCTGTTCCTCCAAGGCCAGGGCTGGATCAATACGTATAGTGCAGCAGATTCTTTTGGCACCCAAGTATAGCTATGCAGTATCGCCCCGAGGTGTGGGTCCGTTAAAGACACAACAGTGTGTGCAAAGTGGACGGAGTTTATTCAGGAAGGTGTTGGCATAAAACTGATTTCAACACTGATTTGTTTTTGCAAGAAATGCAAGAAATTCTCATGTCATTAAATGCAGGTTTATTCTGGGAAAGTCCTTAGAATTGACAGACAAAGCATTGCGAAAAATAAATATTATAATAATGTGTCATGTGAGTTCATTAATGCTCTTGAGCCATAAAAAAAACAATATTAACTAAATTAAAGTGATAAAATGTGTCTCTTAGACTTCACATAAAATCTCATATATAGATTTGATTATTTTTTAAATAACACTGTACTGCCACCTGCTGGCCAAACAGCAAATCAGTTATACTGCATTCCTTATAAATTATAACATGTACAACCTAGATGAAAACTAACTCTGGCACAGAAATAAAATAAACCTATTATTGCACTTTCATTTGTTTTACACAAACAAAAATTCTCACGTCAGCTTTGCATCCGCCTTGGCACATCTTCAATAAAAATTTAAAAGGAAGTAAAGAAAAAACAGGACGTTGTCTCTTCAACAACTCTATCCTGTACATTTGGCTGTGTGGACAAAATATTTATGTTCAACATAATCTAAAGTCCAACAAAATGAGACAGCAACGTGTCTTTGAACTAAAAAAGACAAGAATACAAAAAAGTCAGTTGTCATAAAACTGATGCAAAAATACTGTTCATCTACTTAGAAAGGATCCAGGGACAGTCAGGCACCTACAGAAGAGAAAAAGACAAAACTGAAAGAAATGTACATCACGGTTTTCTTCTATATGCAGATATTAAAATGGCGACAAGATATACAGTCAGATGCCGAGAAATAAAGTTTTCATTATTTATTTTCTGTCTCTACGTCAGACAGATGAGTGAAATACTATACTATGTTAGATGTTGTTTTTCAAAGGAAATATGGATTGAAAACATATGTTTATTTGTTTAAACGATTAGGGGCTTATTTGTGACATTTCTTGAATAGGAGACTTTTGCTATCGCTTTGTGTTGAAAAAACTCTTCAGTAGTTTTTTTTATTATGTTAAGGATTATGTATTTTTTCCATCAAATATGGTGAAAATGCAAACTAAGTTACTACATCTGCAACTGTGTACAATTACTGGCTTTAAAACACAAAGATAAACCAAGCAAAAAAAAATAGTACAGTACTGCTATCTGTATCACATTAAAGCTAAAGCACTAAACTCTAAAATCAGTGGTCTTTGGAACTCACCATTTTGGTAGGGGGACCTGGGGGGTGATGGAGGTGTACCGAGTGGTCTAATCTGGACCTGAGCGCCTAAGCCCTTCCCTGTGCTCCTGAGACGGGACCTCTGCACGCGCAGTGCTACGGCCTCCGCAAACCTGGAGGGGGCTGGGTTAGCAGGTTTTCTGGAAGACTCCTTCTGATGAATCCCGTTGGAGGTTGGACTTGGTTGCTGAGAAGAAGACAGAGAGGAAGCATCTTCTTTCTCCTCTAGGGTTTCTTCAAAGTAGAAGGGTGGAGGAGGGGGAGGGAAACAGTCCTCGGCTTCTTCCTCTTCTTGAACCACTTCCTGCTTCACTTCAGCGAGTGAACCACAATGGTTTACGTCTTTACTCTCAGACTGTCCATTGTGGCTTTGATCCTCAGCTTCCTTCTCCAAGATGATCTGACCGTCACTTGGAAGTTCAGAAGGTTCTGGACTCTGGAAAGGTGTTTCAAATTGTTCTGGACTCCCCAAGGGTGGTTCGGAAGGTTCTGGACTCTGGAAAGGTGTTTCAAATTGTTCTGGATTCCCCAAGGGTGGTTCGGAAGGTTCTGGACTCTGCAAAATAGGTTTAGGACTCTGTAAGGATGTTTCAGAAGGTTCTTGACTCCTCATAGGTTTTTCGGAAGACTGTTGAATCTGCAAAGGTTTTTCAGAAATGTCTGGACTACCCAAAGGTTTTTCAGAAGGTTCTGGAATCTGCAAGTGTGTTTTTGAAGAGCCTGGACTCTGCAAAGCCGTTTCGGAAGGTTCAGGACTACCAGAAGGTTTTTCAGGGGGTTTTGGACTCTGCAAAGCCGTTTCAGAAGGTTCTGGACTCTGAAAGGGTGTTTTTGAAGAGCCTGGACTCTGCAAAGCCGTTTCAGAAGGTTCTGGACTACCCAAAGGTTTTTCGGAACATTCTTGAACCAGTATTGTTTTTTGAGAAAGGTCTGGAGTGCGCAAAGGTTTTTCAGGAGGTTTTGGACTCCGGAAAGGTGTTTTAGACGCTTCTTGACTCCGCACTGGTTTTCCACAAGAGCCTTGAATCCGCAAGGGTGATTCAGAAAGTTTTGGACTACGCAAAGGCTTTTCAGGAGGCTTTAGACTCTGCAGAGATTTCCCAGGAGGTACTGGGTGCTGTAAAGGTGTTTCAGTCCCTGGTGGATCCTCTTCAGGCTCAGCAGTAGAACCTTCACTCTCAGGGTGATCTTCTACGGTTCCCTGCTCTGTGGTGAGTTCAGGATCGTGGGACTTCCCCGAGGGAACCACTTTAAACGTGGTCATTCTCTTCCTTTGTGCGGGATCCTGCCACTCATGCTCAGTTGGGAGTTTGTGTTCTAGAACAGATTCTACGCAGAGCCCCCCGTTATCCGAACGCCTCGGAGTCATGGACTTTAAGGAGGAGGGAGAGTTCCTCACACGCCTGACCAGCGCTCCTTTGGACATGGAGGACGTCAGGACTTTGGCAAGAGCAGAGCGGGCGTCAGAGAGGTCTCTGCCCCGAAACGAAGGCAGATACGTGTCAGTCACGTCATAGAGATGAGCAAATGAACGGGAGGAGGATGAGGATGAACGTAAGAAGGATGAAGAGGAACGTGGATGGGATGGTGATGGTGATGAAGACGAGGGCAGTAATACACATTCTGACTCGTCGCTTTCTCTCAGATCCTCTGTCAGGGAGTCTACGGGCGCTGGAGGAACAGGAATATTCAAATTAAGGGTCTTCAAAACAAAGAGGAAACTTTAATTAATGTTAATTTTAAGCAAAGTAATATTATCAATGAAAGTTCTGCATAGAGAACACCAACATTCATTATTAAAATATAACAATAACATAAGAAAATGAAATAAGTAACATAAGGGAACTTGGCTCAAATGGAAAACCTTTAGAAATCAATTTAAGTAGAAAATTAAGAGACACATTTTTTTTAAATAAATTAATCGTAAAGTTGATTTGATTAATACCAATTTTATTGTTATAAGAGAAATAACAATGAATTATGAATATAAACTTAAATGAATAAATAAATCAGAAAAAAGATTAAAGAACCATAATGAAACATAAATATATACAATAAGTAAAATAAAAAGAAGAGAAAGAAATTAGCATAAAATACAAAGATTTGAAGTATTGATCTGTCTTATGGTATGTTTTGAAGTAAAGGCACAGCAGTAAGTTTACAAAAAAGTAATCCATTGAAAGAAAAACAAACAAAAAAAGACAAAAGAAGGACAATACAGAATTTCCACCAAAAAACAAGCAGACAAAATAAAAACAAGGCAAATAAATAGCTTTGAAGTGCAGTGACAGACATCCATAAAAGCCACTAAGTTGGAAATGAGGAAGAAGAGGCCTGCGCAGGAGGAGGACGGACAGGAGGAATAGGGATGATGGAAGGAGGAGAGGAAGAGGAGACAGCAGCCCTCAAGCCCCCCCTCCAGGTAACACAGAGTCTGTAAGCAGGGAGAGGAGAACGCTTTAGGGCAGCAACGTCTGAAGCTTTAAAGACACACACAGTGATGAACATGCCCTATGCACAGTCTGTGATAAAGTGAGTGTAGGAGGACAGGATGGAGAGTGTGATCAGCAACTCTTGGCTGGGAGTTGTTTTTCCTGCAGAGGATTGATACAAAAAACACGGGAGGGAGCCGAGACTGCTGAGGGCAATTAAGTTGGATAATTAGATTTTGAAAAGAGCATTTTCTATCAGCTCAAAATGTCTGCTTTCTTAAACTGTAGTATGTGCTTCTGTGTTTCATTGTGAAGTGATTCTGGCTTAATTACAGGTCCCTAATAACCTAATATCAGAATGGTCAGAATGAAAGGGAACAGAGGGTGGGTGAGAATATCACACTAATACAGGGGAGTGAGCACTCGGACAATAGAGGGATTTATCTTGGAACAGCCTGTATGAACAAAGCGCAGCGGGTCACTTTAATTGTCCTGAACGGGGTTAAATTGTTCCGACTGATAACAGCCGCGTTTCGCTCTGGATATAAAGCTTCTATTGGCTTTGACATTTTAATCTTGATTTAACTTCAATCTGTCTTGACCCGGTGTGGCGCTGGCTGAAGCCGTGAGGATTTGGCAGGTACAAGAATTCCCCCCACTCTAAAGCTGTTTGATTTTTTTTTACGGAAATACTGTAAAAGGTCAATTGGGATTATTCCACCAGCCTATTTCATATCCTCTGCTGTTTCAATGATGCTTCAGTGGAAGGCAACATAAAGAGAAAGCTACTAAGTGATGGTACTGACCTACATTTATATTTTATACCTCTCAAATAGCCACATTTTACCCCCCCAGTCAAATTGAAACCTCAAAAGGTCTTTAATCATGAATGCAGGTTTTACCTTTGACCTCCTGGTGGGTGTTAACACAGGGTGGGGGTGGGGCCCTCCTCTTGTTGCTTCTTAAGGTGGAATCTGCTGACTTCTACGATGACAAACAAATTCCTTTTATTAGCGTGTTTTTTTCATCGAGAGCATTTATACCACCATTTTCCATCTTTATGTGGGAATGTAGCATTACACATGACCCTGAATATCGAATATTTCATGGATAGACAGCATGTGTTAAAAGGGGTATCATACACTAACACACACTCTTCTTTCCTTAGTGGAAGTGGGTACATTTCCACCCTCCCAGCACCTACCTGTGACCCTCCGACGTGACAGTCCCCGAGGTTGTTGGGGACGCTCTGTGAGGCCCCGATGGGCGGCTGAGGGGCCCGTCTCTTCTTGGGCATCTCCAATGGCAGGGTGTTCGAGGAGGAAAGTACCCGCACATTGTCTCCCACTTGTTTTTTGGGAGCAGGAGAAGCTGGGGCACTCCTCTCCCCTTCCTGGAAAGAGGGGGAAATATAGTTAGGAGCAGAAGACGTTAAAGAGTCAGCCATCTTTGACATCATGATGAAACACTGTACCGTTGCAGCTTTGTTCTTCTTCTTCTTTCTGAATAGGCTGAGGAATCCTCTGTTGTCCTTCTGTTTCTTCTCCTTTGGCAGGTCTATATGATAATGAAATATCTTGATTAGTAATGTAGCAGAAATGGTTGATCATATTTGAGAGTGTGTATGAATGTGTTACCTTGTAGTGGAGGTGGTGTGATGACCTCTGTTTGAGTGACAGCTGATTCAGGCAGAAAACAATGACATTATGAGGTCAGATTTGAACAAATATATATAGAAGCAGGTATATTTTAGGAACTAAACATCTTATTTTAGATGTTGACCTTAGGGTTTTGTCGAAGAAACTAAAAAAAACAACCGTGAAGTTCAAATGTAGGGTTTTTAGCAACAATTTAAGCAGGAAATATGTCTGGAATAGGCTGGAAATGGATTTAGTCATGTCATATCAATATGTCCTCTAACGCAGTGGTTCTCAAAGTGGGGTCCGCGACCCCCCGGGGGTCCGTGGCACTCTGCCAGGGGGTCCGTGAAAAGTTTTCAGATTCATTAATTTAAATTATCATGATATCATTTTTTTTCATTTTTTTTTTTTTTACAAAAGGCTTCATAGTTCAACAAATAATATATATATTTTTTTTATCTAAAATAGTTCATAGATTACGTTCTAATCTAACAAATCTATACATTTAAAAATCAAGCGCGTCACCCGTTACCATGGAAACAACAATAACTGGTACTCAGTCAGAGAGCGCCACTGCTAGCATCATAGAGATAGATGGACAGATTTTTAAAACGACCGGTTCTGGCTACAAATGAAGTAAATGAAAAACAAAAAAAAGTAAGGAAATACGATGAGGAGTATCTCCAATATGGATTTATTGAAGTGGAAGGGAAACCGAAATGTCTGATATGCCTGCGGTGTCTTGCCAATGAGGCGATGAAGCCTGCCAAATTGAAGAGGCACCTCGAGACCAAGCATCCAGATTATGTAAAAAAGACCGGGCTTTTTTTGAGAGGAAAGGCGAGGACTACCGCAAGCAACAACAACGGATGGTTAATGTTACGTCTGTTTCTGTTAAAGAGCAGACGACGAATTTAGGACATGTCTGCTGATATCAAATCACAACTGCTGGAAAGACTGAGAGGGTCTAAATTCGCGGTTCAATTGGATGAGTCCACTGATGTGTCCGGCTCTGCGCGGCTCATTGCACTGGCGCGAGAGGAGAGGGAGAGCCGCAGAAGTGAGACTGACTGAGATTACTTTGAGCAACATGCATGGGAATAAGTTACAATATAATACATTTGTGTATATTTCTCGCTATTCAGATGGTCTGCTGCTTGGTGCTGCTGTTGCGCAATGTGCAGTAGTGTCCTCTTTTCGCACCATGACATTATCAGTTATGAATTTGTTTTTCACTGCTTGAGAAAATGGACTTGTGGCTGAGAGCGTGTGAAAAATGTCAATTGTGTGAGAATTAAGATCCGGCTCAAGGTGT